CTCCTCCTCCTTCTGCACTTCTTCTTCTTCTTCTTCTTCTTCTTCTACACCTCTTCCTCCTTATTATCCTCCACCCCTTCTTTCTTTCTTTCTTTCTTTCTTTCTTTCTTTCTTTCTTTCTTTCTTTCTTTCTTTCTTTTCTTACACCCCTCCCTCCTCCTTCTGCATTTCCCCCGCCTTCTTCCTCTTCTTTCCTCTTCTACACCTCTTTCTTTTTATTTCTCCTCCCTTCTTCTTCTTCTTCTTCCTCCTCCTCCTCCCTTTTCTTCTTCTTCTTCTACACCTCCTCCCCTCCCCCTTCTTCTTCTTCTTCTTCTTCTTCTTCTACACCTCTTCCTCCTTATTCTCATCCTCCCCTTTCTTCTTTTCTTTCTTTTCTTTTCTTTCTTTTCTTTCTTTTTCTTTCTTTCTTTCTTCGTCTACTCCTCCTCCTCCTCCTTCTGCATTTCCCCCGCCTTCTTCCTCTTCTTCTTCCTCTTCTACACCTCTTCCTCCTTATTCTCCTCCTCCCCTTCTTTCTTTCTTTCTTTCTTTCTTTCTTCTTCTTCTTCTTCTTACCTGATCACTCCCTTTTCTTTTGGCATTCTTTGCAATATTTCCTCTTTAACACCCCTTTCTGTTGTGTCATCCATTTGCACAAGCATGTTAAGGAGAAATCACCGCTTCATTCAGCGTGCTTTAAACCCCTCGGCCATGGAGAGCGTCACAGCCAAGCAAGATTCTATTTTTCTCTTTTAAATGATGTACACTTCCTCGCTCAGATTTTCTCGAAAGTCCACATCTGCTGGACTTCATAGCCGAAACGAAAACAAAGCAATTTCTACACAGTTAATGGATTTAGTTGTAATCCGATATTTTTATGACTCCAAATCACATCACGTTTATTTTAATTTAATTTAAACTATCTGTATTACGCTTACCGTTTTGCGCACACGATAAAACTCAATAAAGAATATATATGCGTCATATACACTGTTTAAAATAAAATAAAAATGTACCACTTTGTAATTCAATACCTAACAATATATATATATATATATATATATATATATATATATAGGTAAAAAAAACGTGGGCAAGTAATCCAAGTAGGTCCTATTAATATAAAATATTAAAACTGATCAACAAATGAGAGCTCAATATAATTTTTATTATAGGGCATATAAGTGAACTACAGTTAATAAGATCCAAACGATTTACCTCATACAGATGATCATTTCGTCCATGGAAATGTAGTTTTTTTCATGTATTTCATTGATAAGTCCAGGAAAAAACACACACACACACACACACACACATATATATATATATATATATATATATATATATATATATGAATTGGAATTAACGAGATCCAAACGAATATATATATATATATATATATATATATATATATATATATATATACAAATGAAAGAAAGAATAGATGGAGTAAAAATTACACTGTGCCTAGCATTTGCTTTTTTTTTAAAAGTGCTCAAGTAATATATATAATATATAATATATATATATATATATATATATATATATATATATATATATATAGAGAGAGAGAGAGAGAGAGAGAGAGAAATTATATATAATAATAGTCGACTCTCCCGTCGAGATTCGACGTATGAGGGTCAAGCAGATCAGTTTCAGGAAACCGACAGCCCTACACCGGCACATGAGATTTGATTATAGTGGTGAAGGCCTCATGCAGGACCATCCACACCTTTTGTGTGTGTGTGTATATATATATATATATATATATATATATATATGCAAATACGCTTGTAAAAGGTATAAATGCATCTCCCAGCTATAAGGCAGACTGAGGTGGCAACCGGTCGAGGACGAGGACGACTCTGAATTCAAAACCTGAGGAGAATCTTTTGAGGAAATTGCCGGGCACGATGTGCATCAGTTCCCATCTAAAAAAAAAAAAAGTGCGGTCAGCGAAAGTCATCAAATGACATGTGGGAGTAGTCTGACTGTCCGGTTCTAAGAATTCAGTCGCTATATTATATACAAATATTTAAGTAAATGCTCTGTTTATAATAAACAGTATTAACGATATTTACCAGCCTGAATGTCCGAGAAATTTTCAGAGAAAATGTGCATTCTCCGACAGGAATCGAACCTGTATCCTATACGGAACCGTCATATAGCCTGACGTGCTTTTACCGATTTGATCAGACTTTACACATTTTTGACGGACCGTATTAAACATATGTAAATTAACAAAGTGAGGAAGTGAGAGGGGGGAGAGAGAAGACATGATTGAGTTAGCAGTTAACCGTTTAAATGTGTCAATATCTGCTAACTCACTCATGTCTTCTCTCTCCCCACCCTCACTTCCTCACTTCGTTAATTTACATATGTTTAATACAGCCCGTCAAAAATGTGTAAATTTTCTTTTCATTTTTTGTTTGAAGTCTGATGATCCGCAGTCCTTTTAAAAGGGCTGTGGTGAAATAATTTATTACATGGAACCTTAAAGTGGTTTGTTTTTATTTAAATTATTTGCTCTGGATTTACATTGATTTCTCTGGATTATATTCTCCTTAGGTTTACCTATATGGATTACCTAGTTTTTTAAATATATATATATATATATATATATATTATAGAGGAAGCGGTGGGAACGTTTAGCGCATGCGCTCTCGATATCACGGAGTTACATGATTTAACGAGATGCTCAAAAATGACAATTTTGTTAACCGGTGTATCGTAACAAAAGCAAATTGCTTTAAGGGCGTCTGAAAAATGGAACAAGCACTTTTGAGCACGTTCCTCGTTCCTGTGGTGTTATCTTCTCTCTATCTTTGAATCTGGAGGGGGGGTGGTAAGATGGCTCGCTTACGCAACAATTGACTTCCACCACTAACAATGGAAGGCGCTGTGCTGTCGTAGATAAAACATGTGGAGACAAGATAAGGCCCGCCTCAGCATCAAGATAATAATGTTGTTCTTCATTTAACAAGAGTTTAAATCAATCGAACGTGGAAAAGAGCCAGCTAGCAGCAAATAGAGGGAAGACATGCGTGGGTTTCAGCAATAGCAGACAATTATGGAAGCGAGCGAATTGTGGAGAATTAAAGGAATTGAGTGGCAGACGACAAACGTGAAGAGAATCAGATTATGTCAGCAGACGAACATAGATATTAATAAAGCAAGATAGAGCTGCAGGTAAATGGTAAGAGACTGGGAAAGAGAAGAAAGGTTAGAAAGAATGATATCCACAGATTTAGATAGAAAAAAAATAACCCATTGAGATAGATAGATAGATAGATAGATAGATAGATAGATAGATAGATAGATAGATAGATTAAAACGGAAAGATGTGAACAGATTTAAAAAGATAGATAGATAGATAGATAGATAGATAGATTAAAACAGAAATATATGAACAGATTTAAAAAGATAGATAGATAGATTTAAACGGAAAGATATGAACAGATTTAAAAAGATAGATAGATAGATAGATAGATAGATAGATAGATAGATAGATTAAAACAGAAATATATGAACAGATTTAAAAAGATAGATAGATAGATTTAAATGGAAAGATATGAACAGATTTAAAAGATAGATAGATAGATAGATAGATAGATAGATAGAATAGATAGATTAAAATGGAAAGATATGAACAGATTTAAAAAGATAGATAGATAGATAGATAGATAGATAGATAGATAGATAGATAGATAGATAGATAGATTTTGGATTGATCAAAGAATCCAATTGAGACAGGTGAGAAGATAGATATACAGAAAGATAAGTACATAGATAGATAGATAATGTAGAGTTTGAGATAGATAGATAGATAGATAGATAGATAGATAGATAGATAGATAGATAGATAGATAGATAGATTAAAATAGAAAGTAAGATGTGAACAGATATGGGAAGAATTTAAAAAAAAGAAAGATTTTGGATTGATCAATGAATCCGATTGAGACAGATGAGAATAAGATAGATAGATCGATAGATAATGAAGAATTTTAAATAGATAGATAGATAGATAGATAGATAGATAGATAGATAGATAATGAAAGGATTTTGATAGATAGATAGATAGATAGATAGATAGATAGATAGATAGATAGATAGATAAAGAACAGGAGAAATGGCCACCAAGTAATGCTATAGATTTTACTAGTACAGTAATGTTAGACATTTTACTAGTACAGTAATCTCGGGAGCACTCAAAAAGACGAATATCATTACATGGAAATCTAAACCAGCTTACTAACAACAGTCTGCGAGAAGAACTTAGTAATCATTCTTCTAACGCCAGTAATACTGAGACAATATTTACTGAACCAAATTATCTAATTAGATGAAAGACCATAAATATTTAGAAGGCTATCATAATGAAAGAGAGGGAAAGGAAATATGTGTGATATATTCCTCGTCAGTGTAACTCATTGTGAAATGGTTGATCGTTGACTGGTCTCGTTGTGATTTCCAGGCAGAATATTACATGTCAGCTGCCACCTAAATCATTCGCTTTGCGTTCACTGTTCCGCATATTGTAGCCTTGTTCCAGATCATATATATGCTTAATATATACATCTTACAATTTTCAAATATTTAAATGCAACGCCAATCGTCATTTTTCTCTATCGTCTGTCATCCTATTTCTTGCTTCTGTGCCACTTACCATCTTCAATGGGTTTCATGCAACGACAATCGCGATCTTCTGTCTTCCTGAAACCTGTTCTTGTATTCTTTCTCCTCAATAAAGTTTTATCATTCTCTTTAACTCCTGTGAATCCCTTGGGGTCTTAGTGACATTATTGTACATTATTGACCTGCTTGGAAGGGATTACAAAAAATAATTCATTCATTGCCTTGGGAAAAATCACAGCATTTTATCTACGTATCTGTTTATCTTTTTAGCCTTATATACGAGAATTGAGTTAAGCATTATCCTTGTGTGGGTTGAAATGATTAAAAAAAAAAAAGAAATTGTTCAGTCGATAGATGACATGACTTAGAATAAAAATTACGATTTAAATAGATAGATAGATAGATAGATAGATAGATAGATAGATAGATATGGAGAGGGAGAGAGATATACAGAGAGAGAGAGAGAGATCCTGAAAAGACATAGATAGATAGATAGATAGATAGATAGATAGATAGATAGATAGATAGATAGATAGATTTTGAAAAGACCTAAATAGATGGATAGAGAGAGAGGGGGGAGATCCTGAAAAGACATAGATAGATTTTGAAAAAAAACCTAGATAGATAGATAGATAGGGAGAGAGAGAGAGAGAGAGAGAGAGAGAGAGAGATCCTGAAAAGAGATAGATAGATAGATAGATAGATAGATAGATAGATAGATAGATAGATTAAAATAGATAGATCAGATGAAATGAGATAGATAGACAGATAGTTAGATTGATAGACAATGAAGAGTTTTAGATAGAAATAGATAGATAGATAGATAAAATGAAAGACTGAGATAGATAGATAGAAGATAATAGATAATAATAAAGATAGATTTTGAACAGACTGAGATGAAATAGATTAGATAGATAGAATAGATAGAAGATAGATAGATAGTTTGAGATAGTTAGATAGATAGATAGATAGATAGATAAGATTTTAGATGAGATAGATAGATAGATAGATAGATAGATAGATAGATAGATAATGAAACAGACTGAGATAGATAGATAGATAGATAGATAGATAATGAACAGACTTTAGATAGATAGATAGATAGATAGATAGATAGATAGATAGATAGATAGATAGATAGATAGATAGATAGATAGAGATAATTTTGAAAAGAACTAGAAAGAAAGAAAGAAAGAAAGAAAGAAAGAAAGAAAGATATGAACAGATAGGAAGAGTAAAAAGAAATAGATTTTGGAGACCAATGAATCCAGCTTGAGATAGATTAGAATAAGATAGATAAACAGATACGTAGATCGATAGATAGAAGAGTTTTGATAGATAGATAGATAGATAGATAGATAGATAGATAGATAGATAGATAGATAGATAATGAACAGACTAAAACAGAGAAAAATGGATTCATTTATAGTTTGGTTTCTCTGTTTAACAGCATATCAACTCCTCATGATGCATTTATTGACGATTTTTTTTATTTTCTTGACAGCTTTGAAGTAATAAAAATATGTTATTCTGCTTTCACAATTGAATACATGGTAGATGATACTCAGCTTTTGTGTATATACATGTTTGTGTAGATTGCTAGAGACCCTGATGCGTGTGTTTTATGTTGTGAGGCGCGACATCAAAGCTGTGGGCATCAACACAGAGTCCTGGGAGAGCCTGGCTGCCATACGATTCAAATGGAGAGGACCCCTGACCAAACACCTCAAGTCATAGCAGGAGTAGCTGAGACAAGTCGCCACGGAAAGGCGGACCCGTAGAAAGCAAAGTGACAGCTCCAACAGACCAGAGACAGAACACACATGTGACCTATGCAAAAGATTGTCACTACCGCATCGGCCTTTACAGTTACAGATGTCGATGCTCTAGCCAAGCAGACAACTTTGGATTCTACCCATGGTTAACTCTGACCAACGAAGGCCTACCATGTTTTAATTATATTTTGGAATACAGTTTAATTTAAGAATATTATATAATATATCAGAGTTTGATTTACAAATATTATAATATAATACAGTTTGATTCAAGACTATTATAATATATATATATATATATATATATATATATATATATATATATATATATATAAAACATTAGGCAGCATATGATTTACATACAAAAGAATAATCACACATAGAATTAATCAAAAGTATCAATGCGATTATTGGCGACATCCATCGCTAGAAAACATAATATATGCATTAAAATCCTGTTCATCCATAGTGCGAGTTTTGATCCTTGAAGAAAAACTTGTTGTCTGTAGTTTTTCAGTTTATTTGATGTTAAAATGCTAGTACTTACGGACAGTCTTCCATCCATCATCAGGCATGTGTATTTTTCTTTATAAAATCAAAAACTTGAGACGATATACCTGTATGTCGACCGAAAGATGTTTTTTGAATATCTGCTATTATTGACGGTTGTAAGATATCGGAACGTGCAAAGACGCAACGCTAAGTTATTCAAAATTTTTTAATTGAGAATTTTATTTAAATATTTCTTGTGATGTGTTAAATCCACGTATTCTATTTTTACAAGTGTATTCAGTTTTTATGTCATGAACTAAGTATATAGTTCAATAATATAGTGTAAATGTCATAGTAGTAATTTTTTATAGGAATTTTTTTACTTACTGTGGATCGATAATTTTAATAAACATAAAACTTTAGGCAGCATATGATTTACATACAAAGAATAATGAACACATAGAATTAATCAAATACCAATGCGATTATTGGCGACATCCATCGCTAGAAAACATAATATATGCATTAAAATCCTGTTCATCCATAGTGCGAGTTTTGATCCTTGAAGAAAAACTTGTTGTCTGTAGTTTTTCAGTTTATTTGATGTTAAAATGCTAGTACTTACGGACAGTCTTCCATCCATCATCAGGCATGTGTTTTTTTCCTTATAAAATCAAAAACTTGAGACGATATACCTGCACTATGGATGAACAGGATTTTAATGCATATATTATGTTTTCTAGCGATGGATGTCGCCAATAATCGCATTGATACTTCTGATTAATTCTATGTGTGATTATTCTTATATTATTATATTGTATATATATTATTATATTGTATATATATATATATATATATATATATATATATATATATATATATATAGTACAGTTTGATTTAGGAATATTATAAAATATAATATTTAATACAGTTTGATTTAAGAATATTATATAATACTAGCAGCATGGCCCGGTGTTGCCCGTGCTTGATTCAAAAATCGTACGACTCATACAGCAATCGCTATCACTTGACTTAAAATATTTTTGCTCTTCTTTTAAATCTGTTACAAAAAAAGAACTAAACAAAATGAACACAAAACGATCAGCTTTAAAAAAGGACTCGTAACTGGTAAAACCGAATGAAAAAAGAATGTTAACAACAAATACTTTTTCACACCCAACCCAGTTCTGCGGAATCAGAATCAACGTTAAGTTTAAACAAGTGAATGAGCCAATTGGAGTAAAGTGCCATGCAGATTTAAATTTTTCCCACTTGTGACGAATGTAGCTATCGATTTTTTTTTGCATGGTAGCATGCTAGTTAACATTCGTGTCAGTCAGCTGTTGGATCTCACGCTGGCCAATAGAATCTCCCTGCCTATTCGTGGCAGCCAGCTATTGGCTCTCACTCTGGCCAGTACAAAATGGCTGCAAACTACATGAAAACTGCCGTAGAAGCATGAAAAAATCGATTATTTCCACTATCGATGGGAGTTGGGAAATTCAAAGTCGGTCTTGGCCTTCCCTACACTTGGAGCATGTGCATGTAAATTTTGGTGCGAATCCGTCGAAAATTGCAGCCGTGCATTCGTTACACACACACACACACACACACACACACACACACACACACACACACACACACACACACACCTCCTGCCTTTTATTGATAGAGATATAAGAGTTTCATTTACAAATATAATAATATATAATACAGTTTGATTTAAGACTATTCTAATGTATATATAATACAGTTTGATTTAAGAATATTTTCATATATAATACAGTTTGATTTGAGAATATTATTATATATAATACAGTTTGATTTAAGACTTATATAATATTTAATACAGTTTAATTTAAGAATATTATAATATATAATACATTTTGATTTAAGAATATTATATAATATGTAAGAGTTTGATTTACAAATATTATAATATATAATACAGTTTGATTTAAGAAAATTATATAATATGTAAGAGTTTGATTTACAAATATTATAATATATAATGCAGTTTGATTTTAAGCCTATTATAATATATAATACAGTTCGATTGAAGAATATTATAATATATAATACAGTTTGATTTAAGAATATATAATATATAATACAGTTTAATTTAAGAATATTATAATATATAATATTTAATACAGTTTAATTTAAGAATATTATAATATATAATACAGTTTGATTTAAGAATATTATATAATATATAAGAGTTTGATTTACAAATATTATAATACATAATATATAATACGATATTATATGGATTAATGACATGAAAGATTTTTTTTTTTTTTTGTTTCCTTGCTTTTGTTGAGCGGTATATCAGTCCCTATGGGTTATTCAATCCCAAAATTTAAATATTTTCAACGCATTTGTGTGCCTTCAACTACAAATAATGTGTATAGTTGGTCATTTTACTAAGTATTATTGAAAGTTTTTTTTTTTTATATCAAAATAGACAGCTTGTATTTTTTAATATAAAAAATGTAATTGTATAATTTAATAGTTTTTTTTTCTTTGGTATTTCACTACCTGCCGAAAGCTTGAACCCTAACAGGTGTTACCACCCGGGTGAGGTTTGACCTGGGAACATCAGTAATTAAGAGATTGTACCACACTCCTCAAAACCGCCAATCTCTCGATGCCGGATGTAGTTTATCGTCATACCCAGGACTAGAGACAGAACTGAAAAATGATAAGTATGTTGAGGTTTAAATTCTAGCAACCTTGGGAAACTGCAGAAGTTATTGTTGTCTTCTGGGTTAAGGTATATATATATATTACATCGTTACCCTTTTTAATTTTCTTTACAGTAAAATATTGAATCTTTCTCGATAATAATAATATTAAGCAAATACAGCAATAAAAATGCTTCGTTCGTAAAAGTGGTAATAAGATGAAGTGAATTTAGTCATAAGAAAATAAGAGTGAAAAATGATTCATCTAAACGAAACAAATTTATATTCAGCCACCGATGTCCACATTAAAAAAAAAATCTAAGAGATGAATTAATATTAAAGCCAAGCCAATCGTCGTTGATCAGAGGCTATAATGGCTTTTAGAGAGTCGGCACTCAAAGAACATCTGCCGCCTTTCTGATTTCATGAAAGAAAATATCTTTCTGCTGGACTTTCTCTGTGCATCTGCGTATGAAATGTCGAGACTTGACAAGGAAAAAAAAAATGAACAAAATATATTTACAAAAAAAAAAAAAAAAAGAAAATACTCAGTAAATAAATATTAACAAAAAGATTAACCTACTTAGAACTACGGTACCATAATCCAGATAAATAAAAAAAAATACTCCCTTTAAGAACTAGCAAGTTCCTCTTTAGTCATCAGCTGACTCAATTGCGTTCTCCTTAATCTCGACCACGTGCTGAAATTACCACCGCGCATGTAAATTTATAAACTCTTTCTCACATTATGAAATGGACACAGTCCGACAGTAATTTTAAGACATTTTTATGTTTAACATTCTTTTTTTTATAGATACAAAAATTCATTCAGGCCGGTAAATGTTATTTAATACTGTTTATTATAAACAGAGCATTTGCTTAAATACTTGTATCTATAAAAAAGAACGTTAAACATAAAAAATGTCTTAAAACTCTTTCTCAAGTAGAGTAGCTGTTACCGTTCTTTCCAGTATTGATGGGAGTTTCCTTCCTGGCTTTTTGTTTGAAGTAGTGTGGAATATCAACAGATTGATTATGTCATTATTTTCTCTCCAAGTTACATGTGTTATCCATTTTAGTTACAGCTGCCGAAGAAGTGCGGTCTTCACCAAGGCCATAAAGCTTCTACGTGCAAAGCTATTTTAAACCATTGGCACTAGAAAGCGGCTGTATAGATCTAGCAGTTTAGAGAACTCTGAAAGGGTCTCGCGCCATTCATATGAAAGTTTCGATCTGACGAGACCATTTAAGAATACGACTCGTGTTACAGCTCTTTGTTGGTGATTGTGTAGCGTCAGTCCACAATGGCCGAAGAAGGATGTTCTTCACCAATATTCATAGGCTTCACTCGCTCAAGGCCATTTTAACCATAGTTCTGAACGCGTGTGACGCCATGCATGACAACCATATGAAAGTTTCGATCTGACGAGGCTATTTAAGAACA